TGACAGTGTCTGGCACGAAGGACTGCTTTTTAAATTGCATCGCATTGGAGTTTGGGAACAAATGCTGTCTTGGTTGTACAACTATCTTCAAAATCGGACTGTTCAAGTACAGATTAGAGTTTCTAAATCATTGTGCCAACCAGTGAGAGTGGGAGTTCCGCAAGGAGCTGTACTCTCCCCTACCCTCTTTAATGTGATGCTTCATGACCTCCCAAAATCCCCACATGTGACACTGGTGGGGTATGCGGATGACATAACACTTTTTGTCAATGGTTCTTCCTTGGCTGAGGTTAGGCATCATATGCAGCGGTGTCTTGATGAGATAAGCGAGTGATGCATTCGCTGGCAGTTTCGGCTTAACCCTGCAAAGTGCTTGTATCAGGTATACACATCACTCAGGACAGCCCCTGCTACCACACTTAAAGTCTGTAACAGGAATATTCAATATGTGGCCTGCCAAAAAGTATTGGGATTTCATTTTGACTCTCCGCGCCCTACATTTCGGGAACACGTTAGGATAACGCGCACCGCTTGTTTGAAACGAATGCAGGTGCTCTGTGCACTTGGCTCATTGAAGTGGGGTGCCTCTCGGAGATTGTTGCGCAGAATATATGTGGCCTTTATAAGGAGCAAGATGGAGGAGTATGGCTCAACAATTGAATGGGATATTTCTAAGGTTTTGTTGAAACAACTTGAAACTGTTCAAAACTCTGCCCTCCGATACATCCAAGGAGCCCACCGTACAACACCAATAGTGTCTCTGCAAGTTGAGAGCTTCATTGCACTTCTCAATCTGCGGTTTTTATATCTGTTCATGCATTGTTTGACGTCACAGTCATGGTACCAGTACACATGTTCTTGTGTTGTTGTGTGACGTCACCGCAGGCCTGCCCAGTCATCCGTAAGTAAACAAAGCCACAGCAGCTATGACCGATGATGGAAGCGGTTTTGCATTGTGATCGATGGTTATTTGTGAATAACATTTTTGATTGTGATATTGACACTTGACAGTAGTGTCAACATTTGAACATCAAAGTTCTAACATCATGAGTTACAAGGTAAAAGTGAAAGGACTGAGCAGAGCTGGAAACATGGCTGAGGCTTAACCGATGTCATTGTCATTTTTTACGTCATTGATATCATTCTGGAACCAACCTAAGTAACTAAGGAATTTCTCAGTTCAAATATTTATTGATTTATTTATATCAATTTCAAAACTCTACATATTTCTAGAGAGAGTTGTGATGAGACCATGGGGTCAAACCATTGAGTTTAGACCATTGCAACTTGCAAGAGGGGCCCAAGGACATGGGGCCTTGCGAAGGGTTAAGACCGCCGCACAGCGGTGGACCGCCATAAGTACCTCTCTTCATAGAATTCCACTACGTCTCTGTGGTTCAGTGGTTGTTTTGTAATTTCCTGGTCCCACTTATTGCCTGATAGTTTTGGACATTTGTCACACAAATATTGTTAGCTCCCAAAACATTAGATAATACTTTGTTTCTTTTATATTTCATTTTTTGTATTATTACCATTATTTTACTTTTTATTGCTTGTTTCTTTACACCCTCCTGCCTCCACTCTCGGCTCTCCTCCAGGTTACTCCAGCATTCAGCCTCCTCCTTCCCCTCATTCTCCATACACCCTCCAAAAAACGCTTACCACTATCTGTCATGGCAGTGGTTACCTCTGTTGTGGTGACAGACCCACTATCATTGCCATTCAGAGTGCAGAAAGTGATGTGGGTGAATATCAAAAGATTAATGGCGACACATCAACAGCAAAATTTACGCCTTCAGAAGATCTTGCCAACACATTTGGATTGAAATTATTGCATTTTAGAAATTACTTTGAAATTATTGCAAATCAGAAGACCTCAAGTGCACACAGTAAGGTTTCTGGTACGTTGGATGGATCAGTATACAGTGAAACTTGTCCAGAAATCAGTTGCAATGATACAGTGCATGGAGAGTAAGGGATATATACCAGTACTATTAAAGTTGTAAGCAGGGTTGGTAATTTTTTTCATTTAAAAAAAAATAAATAAAAAAATAAAAAATCAATGATTTTATTTTTATTTTTTCATGACTTTTTTGATTTGTTTGATTTTTTCAACTTTTTTGTCATTTTGAAGTGTTTATTTTTTATTTTTTTATATTTTTTTTTATTTTATGTCATTTTTATGTTGCAATTAGTCTACTAACAATAACAGTATATATGGATCATAATGGATGGCTAAAAAGGGCACTTATTGCCTTCAATAATGGCCAACAGGCCAAGGTGGTGTTCACCACTTAGGGATTTTTGGGTAAACAATTATTGGTAAGTCTATTCATTAGCTTTGGAAAGTTTGTATGTAGCAAGGTAATGAGCTAAATATTGATCATTTAACTGGCTTCAATATACAAAAACACTTCAGGAATGCAGATCTTATAAACCTTGAAGAGTCACATAACATATAGGTAGCTGATAGCACAGTGCACAGCACTATCCAATAGATCTACTAGTTTTATGTCCTATAAATCTACCAGACTCTACCCTCTATACACACCGACTAGTAGTGACTGTAGCTGATAGCTTGAACGTGCTGTAGAAAACTTCTGAGAACAACTCCAACAGTGTGATGCAGCTAACAAACCCCATTTTCCTGATATTGTTTTCAAAACATAAGTATTTTATATGGTATGTTATGCCAATCATGAGGAAAATAAACTTTCTTCTTTATGTACCTCCATTACTCTTTTATTTTGCCCCAAAACTGTTCAATCAGTTCTGTCCCACCCTGTATAAGCTAGCTAACACATTTAAATTGTATATTGTAATCAATATATAACAAATTATAGTCAAATAGTTAAAGACTACTTATAGCCTTATAAGAATTAGCTAAGCTGCTAGCTATGTACAATGTATTGTACACTTGATGCCTCAGTACCAAATATTCAGTTTATTGGAACCTAATACACACTAAAGGTAAAGGCAACAAGTTTATATGCCAATTTGTCATTCATAGTAGGTACATTTATACTAAACCATGAATAACAATACCTCAATATAAATTAAAGACTGCCACTCGATATATTTAAATATATGAAAAAATAAAAAAAATCATGATTTTTTTATAAAAAAATCAAGTGATTTAATCACATGATTTAATCATTGCCAACCCTGGTTATAAGCAGCATTTTCTTATTAAAAATTACTTGGCAACGCATCTTGAAAATGGCTGGTGATGCTTTGGGCTAAAAATCCATGTATTGGCAATGCTGCTTGCACCCTCTGCACCCTGGATTGCCATCCATTCATCTCCCATTCTCTCATAAGTCATGCCATCACCCTCACCCCTGTCATCCAGTATCACTCCAATCATTTCTGGTCTTTCACTCTCATTAGCTTTACAGTTTACAATCCATCATCAGGTGTTCCACCATCTTGCTCTCACCTCTGTTGCACATGAAACTGATATATTTTCTTCTTTCATTCCACCTGTTTGTTCATGCATTTACACTTAAGGCAGATGCTTTCACACAGAACATTAGGTCCCTACCCCTGCTACAATCATAAATGCATTCATACTTTGGCATTTCTTTCATCCTGTATAGCTTGAGGCTATCTTTTCTTTCTAATCCTTGCTTCCATATTATTAAACCACATAATATCATTCTCTTTTCAATCTCTTTTTCCATTCTTTGACATCCTACTCTATTCCAGTTACACCCATACAGTCATAAACCATTCATCTGCTAGTCTATTATGCACTGGATAGGCCCATATCTCATTCAAGTCACATTTGCATACTAGTGCAGGACACTTGAGATTCCATTTATTCACCCTCATGTTCCACAGGTACATCTTTCAAGACCAACGGTTATCATTCATTCTTTCCAGTTGTACTTTGTATCTCAGTGCTGCTTTCATTCTTCTCTCATTAAACGTGAATCATTATTCTTCATATCTCCTCTCAATGCCTCAACAGCAATCCATCTAGGGGCCCCAAGTGCCAGTCTAGATATCCTATTCTGTACAACCTTCAACTTATCAAGCTCACCATCGTTCCATGCAATAACATCTATTCCATACATAATCCCAGGAACTGTCACTTTTCTGTACTTCTCTTAGTAGGTATATGAGTATATATTTTTTCTCGTGCATAGTGGCAGAGCAGAGATCTTTTTAACTCCTCCATTTTGAGTGCTATGAGTATACCATTGATTTGTAAAGTATCATGGATATCAGCCAAATAGGAATATTGGGCAGAAGTTTCCTAAAATTGCTGGCAAAAACAATTATTTTGCGGGTAGTTTTCAAAAAATGCAGATGATCATTTGCCATTTTTCTTATTTTTCACTTAAGAAAGAAATTGATATAAGCACAAAATGCCATATTGAAATTGGACAGGTGAAATTGACAAGATTTATGAACATTTTGTCTAATTCAAAGGTGGCTTCTACCAAATTTTCCCCTTGTGGAGATCAGCATTATCATATAGGTACAGCATTGAAAAAATTGTGAACCAAAAACCAAAATCAGAGACTTATGTTCTTATAAATGAACTGACTCCTGAGTCTAGTCATGGCTTGGAAAATGGAAAGGAGGCATTCAACAGCTGACATGAACTGCACCACACTCCACTGGTCAATCTGAATTATCATGCATACTTTTTCAGAAAATTGTTTGTAATAATGATTGTTTTGAAAATTGCCTGCAAAAGTGTGGCTTTTTTCTAATTTGTACAAAAGAAATTAGGCTATGACCATCATAAGGGATGGAATTGACCACAAGCAAGGGCCTATTTTGCCTCATATATGGGTGGCTACTTCATAATTTTACAGAATCGACCAATGATCTACGAGCAGCTCAAATGCTGCAGCAAGTGTGAATTAATATTGCACAGCTTATTTCATGTCCAAGTAACAAGCTCTAGGATATCTATAGAACTTTGATCAAAAATTCCACTTAAAAAATCATTGCTTACTAGTTTCCTACATATTTTTCCTCCTCAGTGCCTTATGAAAAAAAATTAATACTGTAATACCAAAGAAAACATTGTACCTTTTGCTTCAGATTATTTTTTCTAAGCTGTCTTGACCATTTAAAATCATTTATGGCTACAGCTGGTCTCTACTTCATAGTCTTCCTGGCTCTTGTTGGCTGTGTCAATTGCCGAAAACATGAAGGTGCTGAAAAGCCTGAGTGGGCCAAGAAAGACATACGGGACTACAATGATGCAGATTTGGAGCGGTTACTGGACCAATGGGAGGTACAGTATTTTAATATTTTGTTATACCCATACCCATAGATGTATATTATATATATACTTATATTAAATGCTAAGATATATTTAACCTTTAAAAATCATACCCATGTCAGATTGTACAAAAAATGCATTAGACTTTATATTGCCTTTTTTGTCAATAAATGCTGTGTAGCAATTTTTGTTGATATACTTGTTATACTTATATTAACTGTAAAGATATATATCACTTTTAAAAATCATACCCATGTCAGATTGTTGCAAAAAGTACGCCAGCATTTTTATTGCAATTTTTGATGAGTCATTATGTTAAGCTTGGGCCTACATCAGAATTGTTTAGATTTTTTTTATATTTTCTGTATTCTGCGCACTTGACTTTTGACTTGAATCATGATCATGATATTAGAATTTTTCAAATTGGAAAAAAATTATCTTGATTAGTATACTGAATTTGGTAATGACCATTTGATAAAACTGAAGCAACTGGCTTGTTACCAGTACTCCTAAAATCTAAAATGTAGATCAGTTTTCAAATACTATTATATGCAAATTCCATCTTTGCGAGTTTCATTCTGTTCACCTAAGAAATTCCCCTGCCACAATTAATTTCCAAGTTGTAGCTAAATTGGTTTAAAAAATAATGTCAAAATTTTTACATTCTAAGTTCATAATTTTTCCAAGCAAATTAATTTATTTGCAGGAAGATGAAGAGCCGCTGGAGCCAGACGAGCTCCCTGAACATCTGAGGCCACAGCCCCAGTTTCAGTTTGACCCGACTGCACTGAATGATCCTGAGCAGCTGCTGAAAGCCAGTAAGAAAGGCCGGTCCTTGATGATGTTTGTGAAAGTGAAGAGCAAATACAGCAAAAATGAAGTGGAAGAAATCACTAAGTTGTGGCAAGGTTCCCTGCACAATAATCATGTTCAGGCCGAGAGGTGAGGTTTTATATTTTTAGTGAGAACTTTTAGCAGAACTTTGTGGCATACTTAGTTTTTCTGAGAACATTATGAGTTGTACATGTCATTAAGTAGTGAGAAGATTGTGGCATACCAGGTTTAGTTTTGTTACTTAATGTTTTGTTTAGTTTTGTTACATAATGTTACTTAGTTTTTCAGAGAGCATTATGAGTTAGGTACAAATGCCATTAAGATTAACTCTGTTAACTTTTTTGTAAAACTTGCAGTTTATAGCAAATTTGGAGTATGTATTGAAATTAGATCTTTGAATTAGTCAAAAGTTAAGATTTGTCAGTAATTGCAGGATGGCACCATAAGGTCTAGAGTGTGCCTTATTTAGACTCTCTCTAAATATTTAGTTGTGTATGAAATTTGTAATGTAACAATGGCTAAGTAAATGATTATGATTAAAACAAGTAATGCTGCAGGAATATTCAAGTTCTAGGTATTATATTCTTTTCCATTATTTCTATTTTATTTGGAAAGCCACTGCATCATGAGTCACAATTTTAATCACATAAATATGACCTCATAAGTTTTGCTGTAATATTTGCTGTTCAATACCACCATGTCATATGTGAATGCAAATTAAATTATTACATGTTCATATTAAAGTATATGCTAACATGCGAGTGTGCAAAATGATCATGTCCCTTAAGAGTTAAGCATAGTATTTATTGTAAGCAAAGTATTTATTATCCCAGGTACATGGTGGACGACCAGCGCGCAATCTTCATGTTTGGGGACGGCAGTCAAGCCTGGGACGCTAAGGACTTCCTAGTGCAGCAGGAGCAGCTTGAGGACTGCACCATAGATAATAAAGTCTACCCAGGCCACCACACTCGCTGCACCATAGATAATAAAGTCTACCCAGGCCACCATAGATAATAAAGTCTACCCTGGCCACCACACGCAACACGTCAGCGCTGCAATAAGCCTAAATTTAAATAAACCTAAAAAACTAAATTTAAATAAATAAGCCTAAATAAATAAGCCTAAATAAATAAGCCTAAATTGCAATTTCTTGCAATTCACTTGCAAGATTGCGGACACTAGAGCTCCCATGGTGTAATGGATCTCTTGTAGGGGAATTCAGTTATTATTTACTTATCATTAGTATTTATTTATTTAGACTGTTTGTTCATATAACCTCTAATAATTTATGCACTGTCTCACTCCGCTTTGACTGACCAAAGACTTCTCTAATAAATAATTAGACATCATTATTTGTTGTGTAATAATTGTTGTTAAATAAATATTAAATAAATTGATATATATATCAAATATAAATAATTAAACACAATTAAATAAATTGTTGTTAAATAATATTTGTTGTGTTACGTGTTGCAGGGAAGACTGGAGCTCCAGGAGAAGGGAGGGAAGAAGAAAGATGGAGGGAAGAAGAAGGATGGAGGGAAGAAAAAAGATGGAGGGAAGAAGAAAGGAGGGAGTAAAGACGGAGAAAAGAAGAAAAAAGAACCCAGGAAAACTGAGTTATGAGAGAGCTCAATGAATAGACCTTGAAACTTAGAATTGCTGAGGATAGAATTACTGAAAGACTAAAATAATGCGTTGATCATGATTAGTTATTAATAATGAATAGAATATTCATAGTCTATATTGTCCTTAATTTTTTAGCCGAGGTGGAATATCTATAATTGACCTAAAATAATTTAAGCTCTTGCTCGTCTACCTCTGAATTACAAGCCCGTAACTTGAATACCATTAAATAATGTTATGCTTCATCTACAATTTATATACATATAATAAAGCTTCTTCCTTTTCATTAAAGGTAAAGGGAATTAAGTTAGTTACTCCGCGAATTACATTAACGGTAATTGGAGAATAGTTGTGTTAATCTAAGTTGTTATAGGCGCCAAAACATCCTAATAAAAAATAATTTACTTGGTAGAGAAATAATTCACTGAAGTAATGGGGCTTACAATCGTAAAATAAATTATTTTAAATTTTTTTAAGACATGTGCACGAGCCAAGTACGAATACCGTACGTGTTATATAGTTGAATAAAATCTATTATTACATAATCATTATACTACGTTTGCACAAACATTGTACTATGTTTGCGCAAACGTTATGCTATGTTTGTACAAACGTTATACCGAGTTTGTACAAACGTTATACCGAGTTTGCACAAACGTTATACCGAGTTTGCACAAACGTTATACCGAGTTTGTACAAACGTTATGCTATGCTTGCAGTTGTGGCTCAATAGCTCAAGATCATTGTTAACATGACTACGGTCCTTTTATTATTTATTCAAAATATTCAATTTTCTCGTAATTTATTTTAAATCCTCATTTACTGGGCATTTATTTATATGTTTTCTCCTAAGTAAGAGTCTCACAAGTGTAACTACGCGTCACTAAAGCTAGTTACATAGTTCGATATGCGTTTTATTTTACCTTTTATGTCTTTTGGATGTTATCTTATTGTCTGCTCGTTCAATTCATGATATATCAATGAATAATATAATAAAATGATAACCGCACCACTGAAGGGTAGGCCATGTTTATTTTGCTAAATAAAAATAGAAGTATTATATTTATTAACTTGATCACCTACAAAAAAAATGTGTTAATACGATGTAACAAAATACAAAAAAATAAATAAATATATCCTTGAATAAGTTGAGGTTAAGAACTGACGTCGCTATACTGCCCGTCTCTCATGGGTGAATATGTCGGATATATTCATTATATGGTAATCAATAATCAGATATATTATTATATATTTATCAATATGTCAGATATATTCATTATATAGTAATATTTTCGTTAGGAAAATGGAGTGCATCGCCAGCTGCCTGCCTGCTCCTGGCACCAGCTGCCTGCCTGCACCTGGCACCAGCTGACTGCCTGCACCTGGCACCAGCTGCCTGCACCTGGCACCAGCTGCCGGCACCTGGCACCAGCTGACTGCACCTGGCACCAGCTGACTGTGCCGTGCCTGTATAAGTGCGCTGCCAAGAGCGCGTGACGCCAGTGCCTCGCGGGCCGCCGAGAGGAGCGGACGTCACCTCAAGCCGCTCACCGTGATCACTGGGGATCACTCTGATGCTTATATAAGTAGTAAGTTACATATAAATATCTAATAATTTACTCCCATATACTCTGGGGGATCTCTTCTTATCACTTAAGTTGTTATTCATGCTCATAATGAATGGCAGTAACTCATACTTCATTCATGAGGGAACTATGAATATCACGAGAAATAACTACAATTTGCAGAAGCTGTCATCATTAAGTGAGATTTCGGCGGTTGATAAGTCGGAAATTTATTATTTATTTTTTTATGAAAAATGCCGGGAAAAATTCGGAGAGGGAGGGGCGGGAGAGAGGAGAGGGAGTGGCGGGTGAGAGGAGAAGGGAGTGACGGGTGAGAGGAGAGGGAGTGACGGGTGAGAATAGAGGCTGTNTGGGACGTACCCCTCCTGTTGTGGGACGTACCTCTCCTGTTGTGGGACGTACCCCTCCTGTTATGGGACGTACCCCTCCTGTTGTGGGACGTACCTCTCCTGTTGTGGGACGTACCTCTCCTGTTGTGGGACGTACCTCTCCTGTTGTGGGACGTACCTCTCCTGTTGTGGGACGTACCCCTCCTGTTGTGGGACGTACCCCTCCTGTTGTGGGACGTACCCCTGCTGTTGTGGCACGTATCCTCTATTGCTGTGGTACTTTTCCCTCAGTTCCCTCGCCATGAGTGCCCTCAAGAGGGAAGTGCCTCTAAGGTAATATATATATTTTACCAAAACAATATTATTTAGCGCGTTCCCTCGACAAATATTATTTTTATTCCCTTAATTTTGCTTTGCATTCGATAAATTTTTATTTGTAAAAGAAGCACTTTTTATTATTTATTATTATTATTATTATAAAATTTGTATAAAAATTGCAATTAAAGTTTCTGTTTTAATTGTAGTTTCTCTTTTCTTATTGTTCTTTTTATTGATATCTTCACTCATAATAAAAAAATTCTACAATTATTCTTATTTTGTATTAAATAAAATTCAAAATGTGTGATTTTTTCATTTGTAAAAATTTATTAAAAGTCGGAAAATCAAGATAAAAATTGTTTACTCCTAATGTTTTCGAAAGCTAAGATTTTGTGATGATATTGTTGATATTAATGCCATATTATTAGGGTACTTATTGGTAATTATTTTAACTAATCAACATAAATGGCTGTGCATTAATTGCTTTCTTAAGATCGAGCGTACTGGTATTTATATTTATTATTTTTTAAATAAAAGTCTCTTATATCTAAACTCATTCTAAACTCGAACTTTTAACGGATTTTTTCAACTTTATTTTCAAATTTTACTTCCAGCAGCGGCAGGATCTCGTCAGCTGAAGTTCCTCACTCTTCACAAGGTGCTCGCCCTTCAAATGCTTCAGTTCGCCATTCCTCTTCTCACATTTCGAAAGGTCTTCAGTGTTCTGGTGGTTCCCGACCTTCAACATCTTCAATTCAACCTTCTTAAAAAGGACTTCACCTTTCAGGAAGACTTCACCCTTCAGGAGGACTTCACCTTTCAGGTGGACCTCACCTTTCAGGAGGACTTCACCTTTCAATGGACCTCACCTTTCAGGAGGACTTCACCTTTTAGGAGGACTTCACCTTTCAATGGACCTCACCCTTCAGGAGGACTTCACCTTTCAGGAGGTTGTCAACATTCAACACCTTCACTTCAAACCTCTTCCATAGGACGTCGTACGTCAGCAGCATGCCGCCCTCACGTCAGTCGTGGTCACTATATTTTTTGAGAAATAGTTGCCAGAAAAAAAGGAATACGTGCAATAAAATAGGTTCCCCTAGAAATAACTGTTAGAAATAAGTTTCCCGCAAGAATATTTTCACTGGGAACCTTATTTCTAACAGTTATTTCCAGGGGAATTTGTTACTTGTCCTCTTCAGCGTCCTGGTGTTTGCTATTAAAGGGCAGGGAGGCTGAGGTCCTCTTCAGGTGATCATTGCGCACTCATAAAAATGAAGTGGTCATATTGTCCAAATGTTGACCCATTTGCTGCATTTTGCACTGATACACCGTTTAAACATGCCTGGCCAAAATGAGTCAAGATGAGTCACTCAAGCACAAAAAATACATAGCTATTTGGACAAAGCTTCGCTCATTCCCCTCAGTGTGATAGTGATAGAAATAACAGCACCTACGGAAATTAATAATCTTAGTCACTATTAATATTATATATCGTAGTTTGTTACTATTGTTGTTGTCCTCGTTGCCCGAGTATTATTTTGAATACAATCTATTATTATCCTATTTATAATCTATTTATCTTTATATTTATAATATATTTTATTTAATTAACTTTATACGCAGCAAAATGTGTCCAATATTACTTGACATGGCTCAGTGAATTGCTTAGATCTAATTTTTAATGATGTAGTCAACAGAGGCTCTAGTCATAAAAATAAATGTGATTCAACAGTACCCTGCCCTGTTGAATTAAACTAACAGTACCTGCCCTGTTGAATTAAACTAACAGTACCTGCCCTGTTGAATTAAACTTACAGTACCCTGCCCTGTTGAATTAAACTTACAGTACCAGCCCTGTTGAATTAAACTAACAGTACCAGCCCTGTTGAATTAAACTAACAGTACCCATTATATTATATCTACCTGTTACTTAGCATACATGCTGTATATAATTTACATAGCGTATCTATAAGTATGCTATATATATAATATATATATATATTACATAGCTTACCTATAAGTTTATACTTGAAATAACAGTAATGCTATTTTACTTGAGACTTGTGATGACATCGACGTAATATAATTTATAACAAATTGCATCAATATAATGCAGTACATTAGCCTCCTGCAGTTCCATTGAATTATTTTCTTATATAAACGCAGTGCCTCGCTGCCACTGAGCCAGTGCCGGCCTGGACCCGGCGGACGTCGGACGTGTGGTTGTGTTTGTCCTCACCGCAGCTCGTGGTGAGTGGCGGCAGTTTGTCTTGCATTTTTTGTTAATAAGATTTATAGATCAAAACTTGGTGATGATTAAAACGTAAATGCATTTTTGAGCACTTTGTTCGTATCGTGTACGTACCTGTATTTTGATATTTCTAGCATTACAAATCTTCTTATTTACTCATTGTATGATTGATTGCACTACTTCATTCATGCCAGTACATTCTTGACATTATAGATAGTAATTTCATTTATGTATATACTATCAGAAGAAAATATCATATCTTGACGCTGCTGATACTTATACCGGTGTCTTAGTTCGTATTTAAATATTCGGAGCCTTTCTGGAACGAAAAAACAAGAATTTATAACTAGCAAAACAGAAAGCAGAATATAACGATACAAATAAATAATTGGCTGATAATCTTAATCATGAACCCCTCTAAACACCACCACTGAATTAAAGCAAAAATTATCACAAAAATATGCAAATTAAATGATAAAGTAACGCGTTCCTCCGTGAGGGGTAATACGGAATGAATAAGTGCAGAACTTATCTGAACGAGGTCACGTCCTATAGGTGACTTAAAACCAAAATTCAGAACACCTAACTAATACTTATTGACGTAACAGATACTTACCAGTGTCAGGACCAAGTATCATATCATGATACTTATTGATGTATCAACAATACTTTCATTGCTTCTATTGCTTCATGTTTTCTTGCTTCAGTTTAGTAAAAAAGATGGCGTCTATGTACCTCAATAACAGAGGCTAATTAATAATTCGAATTGGTTCTTATTCAAGGAATGTTTCCAAGAAAATGATTGACTTTCTCATTAACAAGAACATGATTTCTAAATAGAAATGGCGCTGCTGGGGGCGAATTAACCTCAATAAATCAATTCAGGCTAAACTGTTTACTCAATAATCAAGAGCTTGTCCAATAATACAGGTTTTCTGCCAGTAGCAATAAAAGTGCATTAAGTAATGACTTTAAATGCTAGTCAAAGAAAGTGTATTGACCATTTTATATAAATTTGGTCCGTGAGTTTAAACAGCAGTATTCGCAACTGAAAAATATTTAGCTTAATATAGTACGTATACCTGAGAAAGTCATTTAAAATACGGCACTATGTTTGAGCGATGTATTCGTAGTACGGCATTGTGTTCAAGTGATTTAGTATGTTGGTCAATTATAGAATTCTTTGTGAATTAATTGATTCAAGTGATTCATGGTCGCTATTGATGTATCTTGATCCATTCAGTCCAGGTCACTATATATAGTTGATTAACTATTAAACTCTAGTTAACTCAAGTTAACTACTCGTAGTAACTAGTGGCATCAAGAGAGCACACTCAGGAGTGCTAGGTCGATAGGCCACGAATGGTTCAAGAAACTAAAAAACTTATTAGCTTTTAACTTATTTTGCTATCCCGCGCAGCACCAAAATTAAAAACAATAAATTGTATATACATATTTGTCATAGTTTGTGCTCGTTTGTGTGTTAGTGCGTTTGTTCTTTATTTACTGTTGGGGCGCGTATCCAGGATACTTATCGTGTCGGGATATTGTATATAGGGGCTGTTGGGGGCGCGTATCCAGGATACTTATCGTGCCGGGAT